CATTCACATACAGTATTCCTTTACTATGATACTCCTACTTTATCTGCTTCTGGCAAAGACGCTTTGTAATTGTGCAAACTATTGTAGAGATAATTCGCAATACATTCTGTCGTGGTCAGCATGATACATAGCCATTAATTTTGACGTATGGGTTAGACCAGCCATGTGTTGCTGACTGGGAGGGATGGGATCTGCTCTGTTTGGGACATCATCTGAATTTTAATCAGTCCTTTAGATAACTGTCCGACAGATAAGTCAATATAAGGTCAATATTGGAAAATTAGAGAGTCGAGTCAAGCCAGAGTGGAACTTTTGGGCCATGTGAAACATTTGTAATAAAATGATATTTTGCATAAGTTTTTAATAAAGGCAGACTAGCAAGGATTATTCTGCCTTCGATGGCAGTGTTAAATGTTGGCCGGAATAATTTCTTTAAGCTAGATACCGTTTATATTTGGTTATAAGACTAGTCAAACTGCACATAATAAAAATCATGATCTGCCGTAGCATAATGCACCAGCGAATAGTGTCTATGTTTGTTCTACTGATTAGCCCTAACAAAATCCACCCATATCTGCAGACACATGTTGTGCCGGCATGTCTGGGTCTGTGCAGTTTGCAGTTGGAATTGTCTTATCAGCGAATATTTACGTTGTAATATACAAGGGTGCGTTTTTTTTAGGGTCACCTGCAATGAATGAAACTAAATTTTATTCATCTGTATGTTATTAGTACAGAGGAGACTTCTAACTGATCTTTTTTTATGCTACATTAAGTTTTCCATTAAAAAGGGTGTTGCATTAATTAAGTGACGTTGCAATTTCATAACAGATGCAATATAAAATTAAATTGATTCAGTACCCACCGTAATGGAACCGACTGGTATTTGATGATTGATATGCAATCAAATAAACCAGCTTTGATGTTGTGACTTCAAAAAGGGCAGGTATATGTATCACGTGTAGATTACATGGAGATTTGTACTAGGATGTCAGAACTATTGGAGAGCCCTGGCAGAATACACAATGTAAATAATATGATATCAGGTAAAAAAAAAAAGATTCATTAAGTCCAACCTTGCAATTAACATGACTAATCACAGGCCTTTGAAATTCTATCAGTGTAATAAGATAACGTCAGAACAGAATATCCGAAAAGAAAAATTTACACACACACAGCAAATATTTTTAACACTAGTCCAGGAAAAGTAGTTTCCAAAAATTCACTAGTCCCACCTTTCTTTTCATTAGTCCCACCTCGTTTCTAGTCCAATCTTTTCATTGGTCCCAAAATGGTAATCACTTGCCGAGATTTGATGAAAGGTATGTAATCCTCAGAAAAAAAGAAATAATATACAACAGAATGATTTCTTAAAAAATTAATTTTTCAAAAACATTGGTTTGTTTTTCATTTGGATTCTTTAGGTTCGCGTATATGTTTAAGCTGATGGGTTTGAAAATTATGTCTGCCACATGCACCAGCACTAAGCCAGCAGTTGAAAGCTGTGTCTGAGTTAAAGTCCTCAAGCTCTGGTCCATTTGCAGAAATGTTCATCTGGGTGAATTTCCCACCTGTGCCAGTTTTGGATATTGATTGCAGTAACTGCAAAACGTCTTTCATTCCTAGTCAATATATTCAAGCCAGGGATAACAATCAACCCAATGTGGCTGAAAATTTCTCGGTCTCTTAGTAGTGTCATATTTGACATTTTTTTGCCATCACTGATTGTTGCTTATGTCTCTTTGGAGAAATAGCCATAAAACACCCAGGATCCGTCTTACGTTTTATCCGTCCGTTTTCAAACAAATTTACCTTTTCCAAATCGCCGTTATTACCTTCCTTACGAAAATAGTTAAGCAAACTCATTTTCATCCACAGAGTATCTATCAGCTTGCTTGGTAACTACTTCTAAAGTGATCATAACATCAATTTTCTCTTTTAAATACGAACTGAAATCGCTCATTAATTATAGTCCGACGCTACATCCCCATTTGTTTGTACCCACTACCGATTTCAACAACTAAAACATTTAATGGGATAAAAAGTGAACAGAACTAAATCAATTGAATCATTGATTTATAATTTCTAACCTGACTGTGACCAGAATGACACTAATACTGGCATCCACTTGCACCTTTCGTGCTTAACGGACTTTCGATACTAACACGGCGCTACATTCCGTACACTATAGGGCAGTTTATTTCCGACAACATAATGACATAAGTCATCCTATTCGGTAACAGCCGGATAATTCCGTAAATTACCATAACGTTCAATTTGGAATTATATTTCTTTGCACAGATGAACATATTAATGAAATCGTTTGTTAAATCCACGTTAAAGGCATTTTTTTTTTTTTGTCATTCTTTTCCTTTGCTTGATCGACACTGTAAATATCGGAAGCAGACGACATATGCATGTACATCTTTAGTCGCGCATACACACCTTTGCTAAAATTGGTCTGGTCCAGGAACTGGAAATTGGTTTCAAGCAAGTCGGTCTATTATATTGAAAACGTTCGAAATGCATGACGATGACAGTGTTATGGCCATTCTGGTTAGAAAATATAAATCAATGACTTTACTAAGTTCTTTGCACTTTTTATCAACTTAAACGTTTCCGTTATTGAAATCGGTGGGGGTGGTGTAAAAACAAACGGGTTAACTGACTCGGACTATAGTGTAATTGTTTCGCTTCAAACACAATATCGCACGTGGAATAGTTATAAATTAAAGAATCATTACTGACATTTAATTAGTTCATAAAGGAAACTGACACTGATGTCGGTAAAATACCTATCATTAATTAATTACACTAATTCGCTCGATTAAAATCGTGGTGAGTCGCTCGTTCTGATCTAGATGGAGTAAACTCATTGCAACAAAAACACGTACAACACTGCTAATTGATCCTACTGGATATCTTTAGTTTGATGTGTTTTGATTCGCCGATAATTTGGTCGCTTAGCCCAATCAGTTAAGTGGTCAGGGGATGTAAATGTACACGCAAAGTGTGGCTAGAATCAAGTTTAGCAATTTATAGTGATGTCTAGCACTGGGCATCATGCCGCAGACATGGAGCACGATGTCCCGCCCAGTCACATTATCCTGACACCAGGCCGACCAGTCCAAAACACTAACCTCTTAATGCTGAGCTTCACGCGAGACAGCTGTTAGTACCATTTTTGTAAGTCTTTGGTATGACTCGACCGGGGATAGAACCTACGACCTCCCGCATACGAGGCGGACGCTCTAACAACTATGCACCAAAGCGGTTTAATCCAGAAGAAATCATTTATTAAAAAACGTCACCAAAATTACCAGAGATCCCATTTCCAAGGTCAAGGTTGCATATACACTGCAGTAGTTGAGGACTATATCAATCCGAAATGTTGTAAAAAAAAATTTATGAAAGTGTAATCTTTCTTTATTTACAAATTTAAAGATTCGTTACTCAAAATAAAATGAAAACTTAATTTGCTTTGATGTACTTTTGTGAATAAAAAATGTGAATGGTGAAGGAAAAAAATTTGGGTTTCTACATCGTTTAGCGGGAATTTCGAACTTTGCTAACGAAGATGAGAACAGAGTTCGGGTAAGGAATTGATAGATTCACAAATAAATACGACCTTATAAAACATTTTGGATTGAAAGAGTCCCCATACATCACGTAATACACTGGCAAATTGAGTATGCATTTTTGTAAAGAGTAGTCAGTAGAATAAACAAAATGCCAGTGCATAATGTATGGCATATACTTTGAAATAAGAGTATATACGGTAACGTAAGCCTATAGGTAGAAGCTCTGCTATTATGGGTCTACAACTCCATAAATTTGCTTGTTAGCTATGCTGAACTTATTCTTTTATGCCATTTAAGGTAATGCCTTTTTATAGAAAAAGACGTCACTAATAATGGCTAAATGATTAGTTAGTCGTATTGTATAAAAGACTTTTTTTAAAAAAAATAAGCTAGTCTTATCAATTCTCACCTGTTTGCACTTTGATTTCTTTTAACACTAGACAGTCACGTGCCACAAATTTATCTGAAATTGATTTGTTTTTATTTCAAACTTAAACATTTGCAGTCCTGTTTTTTTTTACTTCATAACAATAACAGTATAATATATACATGTAGCAGCATGTAAACTGAAAAAAAATAATAATAATAAAACGCATAGTCATGGTGAAAAAAGTCTACCCATTTGACAGCCATTTACAGAATGCATTCATATCAAAGTACGGATAACATCATATGGATTATGTGACAAGATAGCAGATGAAACATAAGACTGTTAAATGACTAATAATATACATCATAAAAGTCAATGCTAACAAAATATATCAGTGTTCATCAAATTAAACTATTGAAAAGGTAACCTTAGAAAAACTAGTATCGTGAACGGCGCATTATATGATTGCCTGATGTTTTGTAGTCATCCATGTTGTCACCCTTAGTACTTGGCTGACTCTGTTGATTACTAAAGGCAATCAGTATCACCTTTGGTCAATGTATGTGATCCTGAAGTAAACTTAATGTACATATAACCATTTCTTTTCTTCCAGACCTACCACCACTATGACCTCTGACCTTTAGATCCTACATTCTCTACATATGTTTTTAGTAGTACCCTGAATACAAGCATCTATAAAAAATGGTCAAACACCTGACTCTAGAGCAAACATTCTGCAACATTAATTTTTCTCTGAGCCACAATGACCTTGGCCTTTAACTTTCTGACCCCCAAAATTAATAACTAGCTTTCATACCTTAAGTGCAAACTCTTAGTCATTGTTTCCTTGACCTTCAGTCTTTTTTCCCCCAATCAATTGGCTTTTTTCTTACCCCTTAGGCAAGCCATCCAGACCCTTTGGTGACAGTACATGGTATAGAACTGAATTTGATGTCGCTCAAAATCAGTCACAGCGATCTTTGACCTTTTCACCCCTAAATCAATAGGCTTCCTCCTTATTCCAAGCGCCAGCCATCTGTAAAATATACCACTCCAGTGGCTTAAGTGATTACAGCATCTGCTTCCGATGCAGGAGGTCACGGGTTCAAACCCCATTTGAGTCATATCAAAGACTTATAAAATGCTAGACATCAGTATATAATGCCACACTGTAAACATTATAGCGATATGACTAAAGCTACATTAAAAATACATTCTCATTCTCTCTCTCTCTCTCTCTCTCTCTCTCTCTCTCTCTCTCTCTCTCTCTCTCTCTCTCTCTCTCTCTCTCTCTCTCTCTCTCTCTCTCTCTCCAAAATCTGCTAGTACTCTCTCTCTACAAAATCTGCTAGTAGTCTGTCAATTGATGTCCCTATGCAGAAACTGTCACCTTTCAGTCACAATGAGCCTGGCCTTTGACCTTTTGAATCCCTAATAAATAGGTTTCTTCCTTACCCAAACTGCAAGCCATCCAGAGAGTTTAGTAAATGATTCGGTTGCAGATGAATAAGTGGACTTATTATTATCAGATTCTCTCGAAATTAAACTTGTAACAGACAGACGTACATCATAACATGCCTGTATCATGTAGGGTGTATAAAAATTACCCAGATGATCACAACAAAATTTAAACCACTTTGTGACAATAAATGACAATAAAAATTAATACCTTAAATCAAAGTCATAATCTCACAACATGCAAGTCAATGTGACCTACGTTTTACAGTGATGGCGTAGAGCTGACAGGCATTCGTTCCTTGATTATTATCACTGTACATAACATTCACTGTGCATTGTAAATAAACTTACCACACTGAAACGAAGAGCATTCTTAAAGGGAATCAATGTCAGTACTCCACAATTAATCTGGGATCACTACTCAAATGACCTGCAATAGTTACATCATATTAGTCTCATGAAAGTTGCCCAAAACTCTTTTCAGAGTAAAGCTGATATAGTCTAATGCATTAAAGAAAGCTCTTTGTATAGAAAAAAAATGATATAGTCCAATGCAAACACAATTCTTTGGATAGAAAAATACAGTAGAATGCGTCAAAGGCAGATAATTGAGTGTATATCAATAACAGCAAACAGCTATTAAGTACTGAAACGTTTGTCAAAACTTAATATAACAAGTTTGAGTACATAGACTTTCCTGAAATTTATTTTTTATCTTATCAAATCACCTAGAAAGTTTCAACTGAAAAGCATAATAATTACATTCCTAGTGCTTCAAATCCATTCTGATAATAAATTCTCAAATTTGCTATTTAAAAAAAATTAATGGAACAATGTTTAAAATAAATGGGCTGGTATAATGAGCTTGTGAAATTTTTTATAAAGAAATTCTATTCAATAAATTTACCGAAAAATATATTGTTGCTCCTGTTTCTAGGAAATAGAAAAGAATGTAGTATATCCATAATATTGCATGGAAAAAAAAAACTTAATCAAAATGCAGTAAAAACAAAAAATATCAAAGCTTAAAAAAACTCCAAGTCCCCACTCCCCACCCCATGAGCCAGGATCAAGTGGTTGGCCTCTTATTAAATGATCTGTTTGATTGTTAACAATATAAGCTGCTGTCCCTGTAATTTTTTGTATAATTATCAATTCCTTTTTAGTATATACATACATAAATTAATGCACTCCATATGCCCCCAACCCCAAAATTTGCAAAATGAAGACAGAATATTCAATGACACGTTCTTGAATATAACGGAAGCCACCTATCACTCCTGTTTCTTGCTAGATGGTGCGAGTGTACAATGTGATCTCGTGACTGTGGCCATGTATGTAAGTTAGTTAGCAAAATTTGGTTAATAATATACCTGAAGCAATGTGAAGGTGAATTGCATTAAAAAGTGAAAGGAATTAATAAGGGATATGTTAAAATGTGATTTAACAGTGAAAGAAAATATTATGAGACAGTTAGTGTTTCTGTTTGACAAGGCTTCTATGCATGTCAACTTCATCTTTAAAAGCCAGCAGTCCTAGCTGGGCATGAGATGCTTCACTCAGGGCTTTAGACCGAATACAGCTACGATACTGGTCTGAACTCAAATTCGGATCACATTTTTTCTCGTGCCAAAGATGGAAAATACTTGGATCTGTTGCCCTAACAACAAAATAATCACTGTGGATATATTTTTGGTATAAGAACACATCTTCCCCACCCCATCCTGTGATATATTCATTAAATCCTTGTACGCTTAAGAAATCAGATCTATACTGACATGTCATTCCGTAGCCAAAGTCTCTCCAAAAGCCTGTACTTCTCGATATGACTAGCTGCTCTCGCTGTGGGGGAATTTTCATGTCTTGTAGTGAATATACAATGTTTGGGTTGTATAAACTGAACACTATTGGATAGTATACCCGTTTGCCCTGTATAGAATTTAATCGACAGCGTTCAAGAAAATCCATGGTAAAAACTATGTCTACATCACACAAAAATAATAACACATCACCCTGTTTCCAACTAAGCACACCAACTTGAAGCCCACGGCCTCTAGAAAACTCTTCATTTAATGTCACTAATTTAATATGCTTGTATTGGAATTCTTTTGCTGTTGTGGTCAGAATTTGTTTTACCTCTTCCAGACCTTCAGTTCCAAAATATACTACAGTTAGAAAAACTTTTTTATCTTGTTTTATGCACACGCGTATAAAGCGGGACATAAATTGTTGGAAAGCATCAATTCTGCCTGACAATGGAAGGACAAGATTTATCCACTCCATGCTTGTATTTCGGTAGATTGTTTCCAGATTGTGCAAAATTCCAAAAGGTTTGAAAATTGAGACCTTCAAATAAGAATTTTTACCCGGTTTATCAAGACTTCGAAAAAATAGTTCATAATGTGACCCTGAGGTTGGATCTGTCCTATATGCACCTTCAATAAACTCATCAACTGAATAGCGCTTTTTATCTGCTCTGTCTTTGTTAAGCTCGTCCACTGCAAATAAAACAACTTCAAAAATATCCTTCCGTTTGTAGCCAATTGGTTTTTCAACAACTCTCTTTCCGAGTCCTGGCTCTACTAAGAATATTCTATGTAATGTAAACTTAGTGAATGGAATAAGTTCATATTCATTATTTAACTGAACTCCATGCAATATTTCTGAATTTTGAATTTTCTCCTCAATAAATATGGAATAATTTGCAGTTCCTGAAACATTTTGTACTTTAGAATATCCTTTATATTCTTGAAGTGTCCGAATAATGAGGCTTTGTTCTGATATCCGACTAGTCAAATTTTGTGATTCTTCTTTTGATAACTCAAGAGCTTTTTCAAGCTTTTGGATTTTTAACTGAAGAGTCTGAACTTCATTTTGATATTTGCGTTCTACATTTTCTGACACCACGAAGGTTCTATCCATGGGTTGTTTGCTGGACCTTTCCTGCAGGTTTCCTTGGTTGAAATGACTGTCAATATACAGTCCAAATTTTGTGATGTAAAGCATGGTAACAAAGGACAAGCAAAAGAGAAGAGACAGAATTCTTGGCATAGTCTTCATTTCCTCTGTTTGTTTAGTGTCATCTGTCCCTTGTTATTCATTCCTTCTCTTCTGTTTGCAGTACAAGCTTTGAAAGTGCTTCCATTAATTCAGTTGTGCCGTAAAGACCCATCTTGATGTAGCGATCTGACGTAAGATGATAAAATGAGAAATAATTGCACTTCCTGTGAGGTAATACTCCAATAATTTAGCACAAATTAAGGGTGAATTTTAGAAAGTTCTTACAAGTTTTCTTCATTGAAATTTTAAATAGTTCTAGATGAAGTACTTGCAATGTATAACAAGCTTAGCTACAACACTATTCAAAGAACGTTAAATCCAGTTTTGGATCTATAACTGCACGGTTCATTACTGACAGGTGGTAAGGAGAGTGTGCCTGACTCTGGTATACTGACTCTCCACAGATGGTTGGAAACCAGATTTTATCTGATTTCATCACAATTATGCACTTGACTGCAGAATAGCTAATAGTTTCGAGTTCCAAAAATTACTTTTACACATTAATGTTTTGCACTACGCATTAATGATTTCACTTAAACATCAATATTTGACTTTTTATATTATTGTTTTTATTTTTTACACACCTGTTTCACTTTACACATCAATGTGTCTCTTTAGACGTCCATGGATGACCTCACACATCAATGTTTCACTTCATACATCAATGTTTTGCTTTAAACATTAATTTTACACATGGCATATGAATGTTTTGCTTTACACTTCAGTGTTGTACTTTACACACCAATGTTTCACTTTACACATCAATATTTGACTAACCAAATCAATGTTTTGCCTAACCCATCAATATTTTGCTGTATGATTCAATATTTCACTTGACACATCAATATTTCCCTTTATATGTCCGTGTTTGACTTTACACATCAATGTTTTACAAAACGTAAGATCAAACACAGTCTCATTCAAGCATGTTACGTCCAAATCTTGATTTTCCAGCAGATGAAGTACAGTTCTTGTCCAGCTAAGTTATTGTAAGAAAATGTGAAGGTTTGAAGATATCTGGGTTTAGTGATTGTGTTGTTGTTGTTTTGTCCTGGTGTGTTTCTGAACATCCGTAAATTCAATAGTCTGTTGAGATGGTATGTATAAGGAAAGAGGCCAATTCAGGAGTGAAAAACTATTATGATGCCAGTATCCAAATCTGCAAAGAAAAATAAATAACTACTAATTAAACAAGCAAGCTCAAATTTTGTGCTCAGACAGTTTCTTGTCTAAATGTCTGGCCAGGCCATATAACAAACCTTCTGAGCTTGAGATTCTGTGTAAAGAAAAACATAAATGACATTACTTACATCACTTTTAATTGGCTGAATAAATACTTCCACCATTCTGAATTGGTTCCATAAAGACAGACCAATTATATGCTTTTCAGTTTGTGTTTTATACTTTTACAAAGGCTGTAATTTGAAACTGCTTGCTCCTCAAAAGGAGGTCTCAAATATAATGGTGTAACCAAAGTTATCTGTGTACCCATCTTATGGTAGACTACATACTTTTTATATTACAACAGCATACAGCTCTCAGGTGAAGTCCATCTGTAATTGCTAATAAATCAAACTGCAAATAATTAAGATCATCATCTGTCATT